CTATTTCCACCATTACAGAAACCATTCCAAGGTTTCCTCTCGATAAGACTTTTTTTTTTTTTAAAAAAAAAGTACAAGCACAGCTTGGAGTACAGAATAAAGTAAACTTTATAGAATAAAGTAAACTTTATGACATGCTGGGTCCAAGGAAATCCTTGCTTGCCTAAAATTGTATGAACCCTGTAACTTTAGGGGAACATTAGCAGTTTTGAGTAAGTGGAACATACAGAGATAAACATGTAATTACATGATCCATAATCCTATCTCAACAGGATTTTTGAAACAATGGTAAAAACCTTAAATCCTCCCTTTTTCATGACAGAAGAGTGGTAGAAAAGGTCTGAATCTTGGCCTGTCAGGTTACTGAACAGGAACGGAAACAGAACACTTCAGCCAGGACACCCTGAAGAGAATTAATGTAAGGAAACCCTGGGTGCCTACAAGTAAAATGCCCACTCAGCACGTCATTTAAATTTTTCTCTTTGGCTGAGATAGGCACCCCTATACAGTAACTTATCCCACTTTGGGCACTTCTTTTATGATGACGTTAATTATTCCCTCTTGCCTATTGCTTGCCACTAGCCATAAGAAAAGCCAAAAAAACCAGCTTGTGTCTTCCTGGCTAACACCAGATAAGAACAAATCTCTGGAAGGTCATTTCCTGTGGCTAGACCAAAATCTGAGGATAAAACAAAGCCTTATCCTGTGAATTTTATCCTATGCAAGGTCCACTTTAAAAAAATTTTAAACTTCCACAAAGTTTAGGTTTAGCATTGTTTAATTTAATGTGTTTTACTTTAAAACTGGAAAGGACTCAGCTAATCTGTAGTGACCTGTTAACCCAAGTTAGATGTTTTGGATTGTGTGGTCATAATAACTTTTGATATATCAAAAATATTTTTTTTTGGTTGGCTTATGTCTTTGTCGAAATAGGAGTTATTTTCTGGATCATTTAGAAACTTAACATATTAGAAAGAATGATTACTAGCAGGCATGAACATATTCAATATGTTGCAGCTGGAGTTCAGGGTACACAAGAAAAACAGAACTGAGTCTTCTCTATAATTTGTCAAGAATTCCAATGGCAGGAAGAGCTCAGACCACGATTGTTAAGGGAAATTAAGAAGACAGATGACTAATGGGAGCTAGTTTCCAGACACAGGGGACTATGAACCAGCACTCCCCACTACCCCCAAAAAATAAAACCCAAAAATCCTTGGGTAAATTTGTCACTGTATATAAGCTATAAAAAAGTATTTATTTTATTATTTTCTTAAAAAAATTGGGTCTGCATTTTGGTTATTTCATACTGAGTTTCCTAGTCTTTCAAGCTCATATTAAGCTCTGTAATAGCGCTAGCTGTAAACTCACAAATGTTCGTATCTAGACCATTGTTGAAAAAGTCCTCTACATACTGAAAGCATCAGGACACAAACATTTCCTAGCACTTCATATGCTGGGATGGACTTGTTCCCAAAGAAGTGAGTAAGTGTAGCAGTTTCTCTGGCACTTACTGTCCAACACACATGTGCTTTTCTTTTGAGTTATAGAGCTGAAGGTCTGAAAGGGACTCATAGCAATCAAATCATCATAACAAAGTGTCTAAAAAGGTCAAATAAAATGTCTAGATGTGCTGGCCAATCATCTAAATCATCCACCAAAGAGTTCTCAACAAGAAAATACTGCATTACTGTGTAGCCTTGGCCGATTACTCACAATTTTTATGAAAAATTAGGCTTTTAAACTGTTTAGTCAGCTGCGGTGTGTTATGAGAAAAATTAAAAAACAACAGGATCTGCAACTAATTATAGACGTGCTGGACACACCTTAAAACTTATAAAATGCTTGTTATTTTAAAGAGAATGAAGATTTAACAAAAATCACAATGGTATGTCAGCTGTATGTTTAAAAGGTTTAGGCATATATGTATTAGGCATCTATAATGTGTCTGTGAAGAAAGAGGGAAGGCAGAAGAAACATAAACAAGCAAATTTGAAATGTATGTTAAAATATGCCACAAAAGATTGTTGGTGAATTACAGCACCAACTTGCAAGTGATTTTCTCATGTAATTAAAAGGTCAATGCAGTTTGACCTGAACCTGGGATTTAATTTAAATTTAGTTGCTGCTTTCTAACTATTGGTTTCAAAAGTTTCAGGCAGAGGCGAGATGAAGAATTTCTATGGAATCCTTTTGTTGTACCTAACCAGATATTGACTCCTACCATCCAACGACACATCAAGCTATAGGCCACCATTGATCCAATATAGCTTTGGTTTTCCATTATAAAAGGTCCCCTTTCATTAGAGTTTTAAAGGATCTAGTGTGAGAAAGTAAAGACCCTGTATGCGTGACCTGAAATAATCTAGTCTTTATAAAAGGCCAACAAATCATGGAGAATCAAAGAATGCGCCTGTGGCTGCAGAGGTTTTATCTGAGCCTAATCTAGGGGTCACTGGAAAATTTAATGCATAATTGAAGATTCATCAAAAAGAACTTCTCAGATTAAAGGCTACATTTACCATGTGAATGGGAAAACCTGGTGTGTTGCTTTGCTTCTGTGCTGTTTGAAGTCAGTTTCTTTTTTTTTTTTTAATTTTGAGAATAAAAGAAACAGCTCAAGGAAAATGAATAATCACATCAGGTGTTGATTTGTCCTCCTAAAATGCAGCAGCTTTCTCTGTGGAAATGGACTTGCCATACTTATGATAAGTGATACCACAAAGCCTACTACCTCGTTCTACCAACCAGGCCACAGCATTGCTCACTTGCTCTAGTATTTAATATTTTGTTTGCTTTCAGAGGGTTTTTCTTTTCAGACCTTGGGCAAAGGGTAGCCAAGTGTAAAAACAGTCCCACTGCAATTCCCAAACTGAAAGCAGAATGTGTTTTCTAAAGCTCATCTTCTGAATTATTTCTTATATAAGAGCATATTATTTTGAGGGCTTTCTGAGATGCTCATGATGGAGAGCTGCCTGGTCCCAGGACAGACACCTGCCATGGAACAGTGGCTCATGGGGCACAGTGTGGGCACAGCTCAGGTGGGAACATGTGCAGAGCAAACAATGGGAGTGAAGCACTGACTGATTCACCTTGCTATTGACCTTTAAGAGCACTGAAGCACTTTCCACAACAAAATAAAAAGCCATTTGATTTCAAGAAGAAGAAAAGAAAGAAGGGTTCAGGGACATTCCTCCAGACAAAATGTCTAACAGCACCATCTTGAGTTTATAGAAGACCTCATTCCAAGGGATCACTTGGGTGTCAAAGCCATGTCAAACAACAAAACTGCCAGCGAATGGAGAATTCAATACCCAGTACAGCATGTGACCAGCTATGCTGCGGTTAGCAACAGCAAAATAACAGAGGAGCAACTAGTAAGGAAGGAGATGGCAACTGCCTCCTGTGGAGTGAACAAATCTCTAATTTGAGGGGAGGAGGAAATAATGGCTGAATATTACTGAAAAACAAATAACAGGAAAACAAACCAAAATGCTATGGCATCTGCCTACCCTGTTTTTTTCAAAACATGAATAATTCTGTGAAGGCCCTGAGAAACCACTATGTCTCAGCTGTCCTGACCCGCTGCAGCTGGGATCTCTGCCCATGGGGTTAGGGACTCCACGTAAGTTCAAGCCCAAACCCAAGCTATATTGTAGATAAGCCTGTAAGCAGCCCCATCTCTGATCTTGTCTCCTGGACCAACCTTGGTTCTATGCTAAAAGTAGCTTGTCTCCAGTGCTGTCCATGGGCCATATCTCCTTGGTTAGACCATGAAGCTGCGTTGCAGAATTTTCTCTGGTCCTGTCTCCTTTTACTGCTGACCAGGGTCCCTGTATGGACCCAGTTCATCATCTCACTTCTCTGGCACTGCTGAGAGAAGCTGCTGCTTCTGGTCCTTGCCTTAGCTGTGCTGCTGGCTGCTGTGCTTAGCCTCCTCCCTCCTGCTCTCAGCTGTGCCTTGCTCACCTGGCTTCCTGCCTTCACCCCAGGCCTCTCCCACCACTGCAGACTCAGCTGAAAACACTAGGACTGGGCCTGACCTCAGCTGCTGTCCCTCAGCTTCTGAACTCACCCTGCCCATGGTTGCTGCCACGCTTGGCTGTCAGTTCCCCTGTCCCTAGGAAAGCCTGATGCTCCCTGCCAGGAGGGAAGGCAACCAGAGCCAGTAATATTCCCCCCTTTATACCAGTGGAAATAGAATTAATTTCAATTTGCTCAGCAGATCATCCTCTGCTTTGATAGACCATTCTGAAGCCCTCAGAAACCAACCCAAATCCTTCCTTTCTCCTCAGCAAGCTCTACATTGGCAATGAATACAGACACAGCCTACATCCAACGACCCAGTGCTATTCTAACTAATAGCAAAATTCTCATCAGCTTCAAAGGGAGAAGGAACAAACCTCAGGTCTCAGTCCTTGAACCCACAAAGAGGATGACAAAAGCAGTCCCCTGCAGAGCCTCTTTTAACAGAGGCCTTTATCAGTAAGACATGGTGGTCTTATTAACTTACACGGGGAATGAGCATGGAGAAATGCAGGATCTCTGCTAGTACAGAGATACAAATATAAAATGGATATGCTTATTAATAAAATGACATGTAATAATTTGCTATTATGAATTAATTTATAATACAATATTATTATTTAGACCTAGCACCATATCCTCTCTTAATATAGTTAAATACTACTATATTAATATAGTACAGTTAATAACCATATTAATACAGTTCAAATTTACTTAATATATCCATATTTGAAAGCTAAATGAACCTTATGTTCTATTAAAGAGTTATAAAGAAAGTTGTAAATGTTTAATTTACTAAGCAGTTGTTAAGCTTATTTGCCCTGCTGCTCTTCCATAAAGATGTGGAAGGCTGAAGTCCCTTGGGAAACTGGTTAAAGCTATTTCTACAATATGATTTTGACTAATGAAGTTCAGTGGGTTATAAACTGACAAACTACTGACATTATTTAAAGACAAAAAAAGTAATCTCTTACCTCCATTATCTTTTAGGTGCAGTGCTATCTTGGTGTCATCTATAAAGGAAATTTGAAGTCAATTGCAGGAAAATGCATTTTTCTACATCATGAGTCATTTTATGACTGACTTTCTAATGTCAAAGAGATTCCACTATTGGAAAATGATCTGCTACTCAAAGAGAACTAGATTTCGGTGTTCTTACTTATACTGAGCAATGCTTTACTTTCTTACTACTAAAAAAACCCCATTTATGAGAGTTTTACACCATAAAGGAGGATTCAAAATACTAGTCAATAAGGGTGCTAAAGTCTGTCTCATAACGCTTACAAGTAACTCATTTATGTTACATGTTCAGGCATAGCTCGAGTATTCTATCATATTAAGGATTATATGAACCAACGTATAACAATAAAATAAAACAATGACTTAGCTCCTCTTCGAAGAATCATAAAAAGGTCTACCAGTTTTAAATCCTCTTATTTCCATATTCCTCTTGTGAGCCTTAATGAACAAAATACCAGGGAATAATGCTGCTAATGCAGTCCAAATCCTACACTGACAGTTTCTAAATTTCTCCTGCTCCACACAAACCCAACCTTTCTTGTAAGTAGATTTCCACCTTGATATCTGTTCAGCTCAAATTTTCCCGTCACAGACCACATATAAAATCTGCCTGTACTTTGTACCTTTTCTTGTGTATATATACAACTCCAACAGAAAACTCCCCTGCCCCTATTTTACAGATGCTGTCTGAGTTATCTTTTCTAATATCCTGAATTTTTTCTTGAAGCAGGAAAGCAGGATATCTCAGCCACAGAAAGACATGATTCAAGCAGCCAGTGGAACTACGATGAGAACTGACACACCATCCCTTACCCAGTTAATTTGGTTCAGAAGCCTATAGAAACTATTTCACAGTAGTGAGCACTACATGTAAAGAACAGTGTCAACTGACTGGAAAAAAGGTAAACAGGCAAATTTCAAAGAGGTTTTAAATTTGGGTTATCTCTGATTTTCACCTGGTTAAATAGAGTATCTAAACAGATTAAAATTTCATTAAGTCTGTGATGGGAGTTTCTTCACTAACTTTAGCAGGGACCTCTCCTTCTACTGTTTCAACAGGTTTTGGACTATGGCCTTTCAGTTAAAGGAATACAAAAACCTCATTGTAACCACAAATTCTCCAGAAGTCTGCCTGGCTCATCTGTGCCTCCCTAGCGCTGCCTCTTCTCCAGTACTCCTCCCCACTACACTTTACTATAGCAAGAACAAGTTGCAGTTTAAAAGCAGTAGCGGATACTTGAATTCCTCCACTCCTTCCACTGCCCCAAAGAGAAAAGGTCAACATGAACACGTACTTAAAGGAAATAATTTTCTTTTAGCCTTGTAAATGACATGTTTGCACTACAGAATAATGCCGTGTATATACTTCACCTTCTGTGGGCAGGCTAGTTGGCAGGTGGGAAGTGGTGGACCCTCTGGTGGTCGTTAAAACTCTGAACTTTGTGGTGGTTGGCAGAAGGGTGGTGGTGGAGTATGGAGGTGTTTCAGTTGTATCTATATTCTTGTCACAAATCTTATCTTTTGACTGTTAGGAAACAACAAAAACAAAGAAGACAAATCTCAGTGAATACTGACACTGAATGAAGACTTTCTGCATGGACAAGCTGTCAGGATAAAAAGAATGAAAATGTAAACCCTAAATCAAGGAATTGCAAGAGCTTCCCCTCCCCCTCCTCCCCCTCTTTCTTTTATCTCCTTTGAAGTGCCTTTACGCAGCATTCGGCAACATACATTTTTCATTTAGCTGCAAAACATACAACTCTCAAATGTTAATGACAAGGCTTCAAAGTCATCCCTGAATGCCAAACATGTTATTTCCCCCAATCAGATTTTAAGATTATCATTCAAATTTTCATTCTTCTATTGTGAATGATCACTACCATTGGTCTTGGTGCTGTAACACATTAAAAAAGATACATGGGAATTAACTTGTAGCTCTTCATAGTGAGTAACGTGTAGTTAACTTGAGCATTTAATTAGGCTTTACATGCATACAGAAGAATATGTGTGTATGTAAAATGTGTGCATGTATTCAGCCTATAGAATATTTATATACCACACTATAGAACCACGCATTCACTATATGCCCTTAATTCCATATATCAAATTTTCATATATTATATGTATATAATGATTATCATATAAAATATAAGTATTATAAAACATAAACTATGAAACATAATCATACAAATGATAAAACTATACTGGCACACCATGAATAATGTTCACCCTTATATAATAATCTAACTTTTATTTTTATGGACAAATATTTCAATACAAATCTCAAGTTTGTTGGTTTGTTTTTTTCTGAATTTCTTTTTTTTTATTTGTTTGTTTTGTTCAGTTAGTTTTGTTTTGTTTCTTAATTTCTGGACACTTAAAATTCTACAGGTGTAATGAATATTTTCTTTTATGGATCACACAGTTTTGTAGAAAAATACATCCAATTAACAACTAGCAAATTTGGGACTGCCCATAACTCCTGCTGTCCTTATTCATTTTGATGAGAAGTGGAATCCCACAGAGCCTGTTCATTTTATTGAGATCTGGCTGTCAAAACCCAGTGGGTGTCGTCTTTCTTTTAATATGTATGGGTATTTTATTTTCCTTTACCAGAAACAATATATTACATTAGAAAAAGATATTAGCACCTGCAGTTAATTATTCTTTAAATTTCTTCATGTTTTAGCTTGATGCAATTTAATCAAAATTTAGCTCAAAATCTGTATCACAAAGAAGGAAACATTACTATGAGAAGCCTCATTATTCGTCATCTTGAAAGAATGCATCTAAAATTAACCTCTGTATTCTAATTATTGATCTTTCATTGAACTCCGGTCAGCTCAGGCCTTATTCTGGAAGAAGCTAAGTAAACTGTTGCTTCTACTCCAGAGAGCCCGAAAGCTGGATTGTGAACAGCGATTAAGTAGCCTAAAACTGCAAATCAAACTATTAGTTTCTCAGACACACTTAGTGTATTGATAACTTTCCTCTCAGATCATGTACTAATGCTCCTTGGAGCACAACTAGTGTTGTGTTTCAGCACAAGAAGGGAGAAATAGAATAGGATGCTACTGTCCTGCAAAGAGCATGTTTTGGATAACTTCATCTACAGACACAACTGAGTCCTAGCTAATTATAATCTGGATTAAAGCAATACACAGATTGTGCACTATAACAACACATACTCCCAGTAAACCTATTGTATGTTCTTGAAGAGGCTGTCCTCCACAGACAATAAATCTCGCAGAAATTCTGTTCTTAAATCAGCAGATTACAAACTGTAAAGCTGCAGCTTCAAGGCCATGTAACAAGACAGATGTAGGATGCAATATAGGATGTTACTTTGCAATTACAGTCGTAAGAAAAAAAAAATTATTCCATTAAACTAGATTTATACTATTACTTCTCTTTGCTTCTATTGAGAATAAAACAGATTGTTCTTTTCTAACTAGACACTGGGGCTATGTTTTGCCCTCAATTTCACCTGACATTGCACTTCAGAAGGGCTGTGTTGCTGAAACTCATGAGAGAATTTAGCCTTTGCAGCCAAAATGGAAAAGTAACTGCCTTTTTTATGGCCATTGGGAGATTAAAAGTGTCATAAATTAATTTGTTTCTATTACCACAACACCCAAATGAAAAAAAAACAAAACAAAAAACGCAAACCCCCAAACAAAAAAAAAAAACTTCTAAAGGGAATACACTGGGAAAGAATTAGCAGTAAGATATTTATATGTGTGTCTTGAAAATTAACTGCTCTGGTCTAGAAGTACCCCAAATAACTTCCAGAGGAGGCACAGTCCCTGTTTGGCAGTCCACCAGTAACCGAGTCAGATCTCTTTCTCGTTCTCTCACTGCCTTTCTACAAAAGGAAATCCAATGCCATGTAGCGGTTTATTATTATTTTTATTCTTTTTTAAACACCACACCCACCTCCCCCTTTGAATTCACCTCTGTAATATCTTCTGTACTAAATGTTTTGGCACGATTCCATATTCAAAATGTGATGCCTGTTTTTCACTTGAGACTACACTGGCAGAGGACTTTCTGAGATGAGGAACATCACAATCTCTTCCCCTTTTCACACAAGGGTCAGAGATCTAAGAGAAAAACATTGCAGGGACACTGTTTTGGGGCAGGCTTTCTGGCATTTTAATTTTTTATTCAGAGTATTTTCTTAGAGATAAAATTTTTACTTTGTGTCCATTTTATTCTTTCAAATGGGGAGTAAAATTGCTCAGCATATTTTTCTTTATTATGCTTTACAGCATTTCTACTGAATGATAAATATAGCACGTCTTTGGCCTTGAAATCATGCTTCATAATCTGAATAAACTAATCAAAAGCATCACAAGGATAAAAATGGCCTCTGATGGGCTGAGGATGTAAACTACTCACATACCTCTTCAGGACAGCCACTGTCTACCCAATCTTGCCGGTGACGGTCAAATCCACTGGAGCATCTTTAAATGATGAAATAGATAGAAGTTGTCCAGGTGGAAAGAGGAGGAAAACAGTAAAAAGAAAAGGAGTGAGAGGAAGAGAAGAAAATGACATAGAGAATAAATAAGTAAATGATGTGATTTATTTTAAAATCAATATGATTTATGTGGTATTATATTTATTACAGAAGCTGTTGCTTGCAACATGAGTAAATCATTTAATCAATTTCAGTTAAAGGTGCTTCAATGAATATTACGTATTTCTTTTATTTATAGTTTTTAATAGGAAAGTCTCCCTTCCACTGGTTAACTATTCTTAGGACCATACTGAGCCACAGCATTTTTAAGTTTGATGTCAGCCATATGGATGTAAATTGGTTTAATTATTTCTGTCCAGACTTCTTAGCCACTAGCTTCTTAATTTGTCAAAGGATGTAGTGAACCAGTTACCGCTTTTATCATAGGATCATAGAATGGTTTGGGTTGGAAGAGACCTTAAAGATCATCTAGTTCCAAACCCCCTGTCATAGGCAGGGACACCACATACTAAACCTGGTTGCTTAAAGCTCCATCCAACCTAGTCTTGAACACTGACAGGGATGGAGTACGCACAACTCCTCTGGGCAACCTGTTCCATTGTCTCATTACCATCACACTATAGAATTTCTTCCCAATATCTAATCTAAATCTACCCTCTTTCAGTTTAAAGCCATTATCCCTTGCCCAATTGCCACTTGCTCGTGGAAAAAGTCCCTTTCCAGCTTTTTTCCCCTTTAGGTACTGGAAGGCTGTTAGAAGATGTCCCCAGAGCCTTCTCTTCTCCAGGCTGAACAAGCCCAACTCTCTCAGCCTGTCTTCATAGGAGAGGTATTCCAATCCTCTGATCATCTTTATGACCCTCTTTGGGAATAGTTCCAATAGGTCCACAACCCTTTTGTGGTTGGGGCCCCAGAACTGCACACAGTACTCCAAGTGGGGTCTCACGAGAGCACAGTCTCCTTTTGATGCAGCCCAGAATACAGTTGGCTTTCTGGGCTGCAAGCGCACACTGAAGCCTGCTCATGTCAAGCTTCTCATCAACCAACACCCCCAAGTCCTTCTCCGCAGGGCTGCTCCCAATCTCCTCCACCCAATCTGCAACTGTGCTTGGGATTGCCCCAACCCAGGTGCAGGACCTTGCACTTGACCTTGTTGAACTTCATGAGGTTGGCATCGGCCCACCTCACAAGCGTGTCCAGGTCCCTCTGGATGGCATCCCTTCCCTCCAGCGTATCAACCGAGCCACACAGCTTGGTGTCGTCGGCAAACTTGCTGAGGGTGCATTCAATCCCACTGTCCATGTTGCCGATAAAAATGTTGAGCAGAATCAGTCACAACACTGACCCCTGAGGGACACCACTTGTTACTGGTCTCCAATTGGACATTGAGCCATGACTCTGCGTGCAGCCATCCAGCCAATTCTTTATCCACCAAGTAGTCCATCCATCAAAATTATGTCTCTCCAGTTCAGAGACAAGGATATTGTGTGGGACAGTGTTGAACGCTTTGCACAAGTCCAAGTAGATGATATCAACTGCTTTGCCCCTGTCCATCAGTTCTGTAGCCCCATCATAGAAGGCCAATAGGTGATCTGAGACATCAAGATACACATATAATGATGTGATCACTGTTCACAGATTTAGATAACAGGTGCTCTGAACAGCCTTCATGACAATTCAAAAGTACTATATAGTTGTGTCTACCCCCTCACTAGCTGCAGAAAACTTAAGTTGCATGCATATTATCAAATTCAGTGAGGTTAATAATCTGCTTGTAATATTCTTTCTCCTTTACAATATGTAGTGTAGAAATTTTAAAGCAACTTGTAACACTTTAATATAATTGTTCCCCTAGCAATCCCCATCTCACAAGAGTGCTATCAGTGTATATACAGTAACTTAGGGTTTCCTAGACAACAGGTAGAATTACAAAGAGTAAGTATTATGAAAACAGCAAGCAAATAGCTAAACCTTGATATCTGACTTCAAAAGAGATTCTCCCCACTTAGGGTTATTATTTTGGCATGGTACCCATGGTCATAACTTACCTGACTGTACAGCAAATAACTTTCTCATTGTCTTTTAATAAGGCTAGTCAAGCAAATTAGACCACTGTTATGGCTAACTGTATTCATGGGGCAATTTTTTACTCTAAATGAACTGAAAGATGCTGAGGCATGCCAAGTACTACCCCACTTCAACCGAGGTAAACAAGTGCATTTGGAAGAACGGAATGGTGGAATTGTTTTTATAGCAGGAGAGGATGTTACAGTAGGATGTAAACAATGTTAACAACCCACTTGGAATAATAAATTTGTCCATAGTATAATTCTGAGCAGACTCTACAGTATGTTTGAGAAAAGATTTTGAGAAAATATTGATTCCCTTGTACTTGCACTGATCCACGTTATACCATTTGCAATGTGGAACTTCCGCCCCCCACCCCGCCCCAAACCCTACCAGGTGCAAATTATCACTCACTCTACAGCAACTGACTTTTCAAAAAACCTATTGCAGAGAAAGAAAAAGATGCCCAAACCAGATACGTATTCCAGAGAAATACAGTGACCTCCTTCAAAATGCATGAGAACAAAGGCCACTGTAAAGAGCTTTTTCTTGTTGAATAATAGAATCACCTAGGTTGGAAAAGACCTTTAAGATCATCAAGTCCAACCGTTACCCCGGGACTGCCAAATCCACCACTAAACCACATCACTAAGGGCATTGTCTACATGGTTTGTGAACACATCCAGGGATGGTGATTCCAACACTTCCCTGGACAGGCTGTTCCATTGCCTGACTACCCTTTTGCTGAAGAAATTTTTCCTAATATCCATTATATTAGGAAATTATCCTAATATTATTCAATCTAAACCTCCCCTGGCTCAGCTTGAGGCCATTACCTCTTGACCAGCTTTGTTGCCCTTCTCTGGACTCTCTCCAGCACCTCAGTTGTCTTTCTTGTAGTGAGGGGCCCAGAAATGAACACAGAATTCAAGGTGCAGCCTCACCAGTGCTGAGTGCAGGGGGATGATCACTTCCCTGGTCCTGCTGGCCACATTATTGCTGATACAAGCCAAGATGCTCTTGGCCTTCTTGGCTGCATGGCCACAAGCTGGCTCATGCTCAGCAGCTGTCAGTCAGCACCCCCAGGTCCTTTTAAAATGAGCAGCTTTCCATCCACTCTTCCCCAAGCCTGTAAAATTCCATGGGGTTGTTGTGGGCCAAGTGCAGGACCTGGCGCTTTGCCTTGTTGAATCTCATACACTGGCCTTGGCCCATCAATCCAGCCTGTTCAGATCCCTCTGCATAGCCTTCCTACCCTCCAGCAGATCAACACTCCCACCCAAATTGGTGTTGCCTCCAAATTTACTGAGGGTGCACTCAATCCCCTCATCCAGATTGTCAATAAGCAAGACTGGCCCTAATACCAAGCCCTGGGGGACACAACTAATGATCAGTGATCACTAGATGTGACACTATTCAACACTACTCTTTGGGCTTGGCCATGTAAGTGAATCTGTAAGTGAACCAATGCTATGCTGGGAGCTCAGTGCTGCCTCTGTGGTGTTCTGTCCATAAACGTTTGAGAAAACAAGGAGGACTTTACTAAGCAGAAAGATATTATGACATGGCATTCCAGGTATGAATAGAACATATTTTTTTTAAGTCTCAGGCTCCCCTGCTTTTCTCTAAAGCTTGAAGAGCTTCATCAGCAACTTCTGCACCCATCTTGATGGAGAACTGGACTAATTTTCAGATGTACCAAATATAACACATTTCATTCTAATCACACTGCTCTAGCTAAAGTCTAATCTGTTTGTGAATATTCTGTACATCTGAAAATCAAGCCCAATGATAACACATACCATCAAGCCACTCCGTAAATTCCTAAAATAGAGGCAATTAATGCAGTTACATATCCATGTTAATTCAAACCCAACTGTACTTAGACCTAGTAGGGATTCATGGCCTTTTAATCTTAGATTTTATTATATATCTAAATAGTGTCAAGCTCAAGGCTCCAAAGATTGAATGAATAAAAGCTTATCCCAGGCACACTCCTCTGTAGCTCTTATGTCTTTTCTGAAAAAACTACTGAAAAATGGTGGCGAGTAACAGTGCCGTGGTTGATTTTCCCCAGGAGTTAACAAACCACCAAAAGTTGAATGCAAAACACAAGGACTTGGAATGGCTCTTTCAAACATGTGAGACAGTCTTCAGGTAATCCTATCTGAAAGAAAAAGACATTAAACCCTGGACGTTGTTTATTTAACATTTTCTACTGGTGAGTCCAAGCCCCAGCAGCTTTATCTGGAATAAGAGGCTCCAAGCAAACCTGTTTGTGAACTTCCTTTGAGGCATGTCAATAAGTCGTCAGCTGTAGCAGCTACTAGCATTGCTGCATCACTGAGTCAGAATTCTGGGAACTGTCATTTCAGTGCACCACCCGCTTTACTGACCACATTTTTAAGACCTTCATTTAGTATCATGGTGATAATACCCTGTTGCCATTAAAACATTGGAACAGATTTGATTAGCTATGCCATTTATGCCATCTGTCAACATGGCCATTTGGTAACAACTTCATTTTCAAGTCATGACCAAAATCAGTTGCTAGGAAAGCAATAATAAAGATGTTCTAGGAAATGAGAATGGGGGCATTCATGAAATGTATGGAATTCCAGGATGTGTGTGGAACTTGGGAGTATTGGTTCAGAGAGAAAAGAGAGAATTAAAGTCTCTGCATGTATAGCAATGATGATTTGGCATAATTAATGGAGCTGAGTCTGAGTAACAAGAAAGATGTCAGAATCCTTACAGTGAACTGTACAAAGCCATAAAGGAGATGGAGATGTCACCAGATCTACCAGATGCCATTTGCCTCTGTTTGGCAGAGAATATTTAAATGACAAAAGTCCATTCAGTGTATGAACTGAAATCCTTTGAAATCCCTTTTACAAGAGTTTAGTGAGGATTAAC